AAACAACCAATGGGATGCTTTCCTTCCACATAAAAAATTACCTAAAATATCTCTCTCTCCTAAATTATCTCTAATTCCTATTTATCCTCTCGCCCATTTTTTATCTATATCTATTTAAAATATTTATTAAAAACAAAAAATAATTATAATAGATTTAATAATAATCATATTATTAATATTTTATATTTTTATAAAATTAATTCATCACAAAATTATGTACTAACAATATAAATTATGATTTTCTAGATTATTCAATTTAAATGTAATTCAAATGATAAAAATTTAATATTCAAAAATAACATATTATCTAAATATTTAAATAACTAAATATATTAAATAACAAAATATTAAAAATAGTTAACTTTAAAATAAATAAAATTCAAATAACAACAAATTTTAAATACTTTATATATTACTTAAATATTTTCAAAACTAAATGTTTTAAATAACGAAATATTTTACATAACAATATCTTAAATAGTTAGAATAACTAAATTATGAAATAAATTTAAAAAAATCTTAAAAAATACAAATATAATTATAACATAATATTCAAATTAATTATAATTTCATATTGTACAAAATTAATAATGAAATTATGTAATAATACTACAAATTCTAATTTTATGGATTATTAAATTCAATAGATAATTAATATTTTAAAATTTAAATAATGATATGATTTAAATAACTAAATAATATTGAAAATAACTAATTTCACTTGTATCAATTAATAATTCTAGAAAATAATTTTAAAATCTTAATGTATATTATATTGATATATACTAAAATTAATATTTATTGTGTTTTCATTAATTATTGATTTTTTTGAGATAAATATATTTTCAATAATTTTGTATAAATCTATAATTGTTTTGTTATTCAATAGAAGTTTTGTAATATTTATTGGAGATTAAACTATTATTATTTAACTTTTAAAATTTAATTTATTGTACTTATTGTATTTTTGTTATAATTTATTGATTAATATATTTTAGAGATTAAACTATTATTTGAGATTACACTATTTATGGACTAATTTAATATATTTTTTAGTATTTATTGTATTTTTATTAGTTATTTATTGTAATTGTATTTTCAATAATTGTGTATTTTCACTATAAATTTTCAATAATTATTGGATATTAAACTATTACTATTTATTAGAGATTAGACTATTAATTTAGTTGAAATTAGGAGCGTTCACAGGTTAGTTCGATTCGGTTGTAGGTTGTTTGGCCAACCAAATTGACTTGGTCAGGTTGGAGAGCTGATCACCCGAAACCGATTTGTCGGGTTAGTTCGGTTTAATTTTGGTTGTTTTACAAATGGCCAAAGGAAAACTGATCCAATTTGGTCGAATTTGAAAATTGTTAAACCAAATCTGACTGGAAATACTGTAAAGCGTCAGATTGGTCCATTTTATCAGTTTGATGAACCCTATCTGAAATTAATTATTGTTATTTTTGTATTATAAAAAACTATTAAAAGTAATATATAAAATATAAATAATTATTAATTATTTAAAAAATTATAAAAAACTATTAATTATTGCTATTTTTGTCCCGCTAATCTTCTAGTATGTATTACCATTACCAGCAAGTAATCTTGTCGTCGCGAATACTGGAATAGAATAGAAACAGTTACCGGCACTTATTAGTCGTCAGACGGAGTTCATGATTCAGGGTTCCTAGTAATTAGGGCAAGCTTGGGCTAAAAACTCATGGATTGTGCATGATGGACACGCTTTCTGAGTTCTCTCTTATTTACATGGAGTTGGTAGAAAGGAAACTCTCCATGGGAATTATATAAATCAGTTGGATTAAGAAAGTATTCCATTGAAATGGCTGGAGATAAGTGGGTTTGCCTTGGCTTCCTTGTCCTTGTAGGCATCAGTACTACTCTTTACTTTACTAATAGACCTCTCAAAGAGGCTGAGAAGCCGGAAAGTATTGATATCGGTATAGGTTTTGGTGGTAGCGTCAATGGAGGGAGCAGTGGCAGTGGTGGTGTTGGCGGTAGAATTGGCTTTGGCATTAGTATTGGAGACGACCGGCGTGGTTGCTACGGTGGATGAGGAGCCTGGATTTGGCCTTGCTATGAACAACATCAGCCCGGGAAAGAGAGCTCTGCGTCGAAGATGGCCAATCCGTGACCCAGAGAAACACCAGACATGGCATCACTGGTCTTTAGTCTTTATCTCTCTCTCTCTCATTATCAGGAAGTAGTCAGTGACACATGTCATCGATCTTTTGCGTGTTTAGTCCTTTTTCCTTCGGTAGTTCACAGGCTATGTGTGCGTGGGATTCTCTTTCTTCCTCTTATGTACAATTAGTTCTTTTCCTTTGTAAGAGAGATGTGTAACTGTGTAAGTTGAGGGCAAGATAAAAGAAGAAAATGCTAGAAAAAGGTGACAAAAAGTGCTTAGAATCGAGAGCATGATTAAAGAGAAAAATGAGAGATGGGATATGAAATAGTTGTGTTCAGTCCTCACCCTCACATCTCGTGAACACGCAACCAACCTAATTAAATATAATCCTTAAGAAGTTTAAAGCTCAACCTGGGACAATTACTGCTGATATAGAGGGACGAGTGGTGGCTGTATGGTTGATGGCCAATAAGTGGAACAAACTTGGCCATTCATTCCTCATGACTTTGGGGGTTTGTAAGTTTGAAGACATGTCACCTCTTCAAGGTGTCAAGAAGTGCAGTATGGCTCCAAGTAAAGATCAATCCCTGAAGCAACTATACCCAGACCATGTGGCCTCCCATTCCATCACTCCTACTACCTACCGATATGGTAATTATAATTGTAATCTCTCCTCAAATTAAATAAACAACGCCTTGCCACCACCCCTTGGTCTGGCTCATTTGGTTTAATCTAAAGGGTAGAGAAGTGATTTTTAGGGGTGTACATGAATCAAGTTAGGGTTCGACTATGATATAAAAAAGATATGATATCCAAAAAACAACTAATCAATAAATCAGAATCATAAATTAAACGTGATAAGGAACATGGTGTTATTTATCAAAATTCATGGGTGGGTTTTGATTGGTCAAAACTCTTTCTATATCATATCTTTTCTGCATCATAAATTTTCCCATCAAGTTATTTATAAGTTATTTGAACTTACATTCGTGAAAGGGTTAATTCCTCAGTTTGGCTTTAATTTAGCTTTGAGTTTGAGCTTGAATAATCTAATATATAGGGTCCCATATTAATTGAGGTGAGCTCAAACAGCATGAAACTCGGTTCATAAAGCTCATGAGGCCTAATTGAGTTTATATAATATTTTTAATTTTTTATATTAATTATTAATGTTTTATATGAAGCTTCGTTCACTGTTGACCTTAGCCCGAACTCAAGCCTTGTGATATTTTACAAAATATGAGCTCAAATAGTCTAATATTCGGCTCAGTTCGATTTGAATCCACCTTACAGGTGATGCATTAAAGCTAACTGATTACCAAGCCTTATACGTAATGCTACAAAGTTGAGACTAAGTGTCAGTTTGTTGGCAGGAATAGGGTTTGGAATCACAATTGAAATTAACCATTTTGATTTCATCTATTGGGTTGGATAGAATTGGAATGCAATTCCCATTTTGATAGAATGGGATTCTCTCATTTGAGGGAATGGTCAATCTCTCCCCTCCTTTGGGAATGAGAATCCCATTCCAACCGATTCCAATTCCAATTTTGATTTATGTTTAAACCAAACAGGGCAGGGAGAATAGACTATTTTGATTCTAATTTTAAGGAATTTTGATTTCAATTTTAACTTTGAATCAAATGGATCCTAAATAAAGGCTAATATGAACATTAACCTATTTCTTATAGTCATCTTTATGTTTCATGGAGTACCAATCAATGGGCAAAACTAAGAGGGACAGTCTGTCAGCTTGGTAGGTGAAGTCAACGCTAGACCTTTAATGCCCATTTAAAGGGCTCCTCGTCTTGCATTGTTAGTTGTTGGCGAAAGGTATGTTTGGTGAAAAACTTGGAAAGCTGAACCCTCTTAAACGGGCTGCTAAATTAGAGTTCGGATGTCCTACCCATGAGAATTCCGTTCACATTTATCGTAGTCATATACGAAGAACATCTCATCCTATGCATAATATTATGCAGGGAGAGAGATATTCCCGATTCACTGGGGATAGTGTATTGTGGGTAAGTACGGATAGAATTTTTGTGGGCAAGAAATCCGGTATCGCTAAATTTGTGGTAACTTGTAGAGGATGATAAACTGAATGGAAGAGAAAAAAGCGTATAGGAGATTTAGAACAGATTTGAAAAGTAGCTTTGGGAATCAGATTCAATATTTTCTTGAGGGCAACATTGATATTACATACCAACAAAAGGTGGGAAGAGGATCTGCTCCTCACACTTGGGCGCCTCAATGCACATTTAGTCATTTACTTGGAAACATCTCCCATAAATAATAATTTAAAAATATGGGAGATATTCTAGGATCTGCGTGTAAGCCGCCCTATGTGAGGAGAGGATCCGGTCTCCAAAAGGTGTGGCCCAGCGTTCCAATGGTACAAAATGGATGGCATAGTTCAATTGCTTGTCCGTAAGTTGTGGGTGGGCATTATTTTACGACCCACTTGAATTTTCAACTGTAGAAGCTTGACTTTTCGCAGAACCAATCACCTTTTTGCTGTTCTCAGTGGACGGATTTGTTTTTTGGAATCCTCTCTCTGTTTCTACTGATCCAGTCATTCAACGAGATATCAATTTATCAAGCGGTTTTGGCTTTTCGTTGAAGCATCTGGTCATCTTTTGGAAGGTACAGATAAATGTGAAACAAATCAAAATACTGGTCAATGATAGCTCCAGAGGTTTTAATGACGTGGGGTTTGATAGTCCATCGTTGGGAATTCTGGTAGAGCGTACCATGGAAGAATGAGTTAGAAAAATGAGACGGAATGAAGCAGATATTAGAGCGAGCGCTGCCACGCGCGGTCTATTTCAAACTTGACTTTTCACGGATTTGCAAAGCATTTAACACGGAAAGTATCGTTTAACCTAAAAAAGGAGAAACAGAAGAAAATTCATAAGATAAAGGTATAAAACTACCGACAGGCGAAACCTCTCCGCCTCCGGTTTCATCCCCTTAATTTAGCGAAGGGAAAGAGAAAAGAAGCGGAAGGGAAAGAGAAAAGAAGAGGGATCCTCTTTAGTCTTTGCTTGAGAATCTTCTGTTTCGGTTACTGAACATGTCTGCGGAGGCGGGTGCTGCTGAAAGTAATAATATGAGGGGAGTCCTCACACATGGAGGTCGATATGTTCAGTACAATGTGTATGGGAATCTTTTCGAGGTCTCTACTAAGTACGTTCCGCCGATACGACCCGTCGGTAGAGGTGCTTATGGCATTGTCTGGTAATTATTTCATTTCTTGCTTAATTTTCTTATTCCAAATTCTCATAACTCGACATGTATGCGACTATCAAGATTTATCTGGTTTGAACTTCTTGGGTTGTCATATTTTCTTCAGATTTCAACTAGGTTTTGTGGGATTTGGAAGATCGTGCTGAGAATTTGCTGGAATTCTGATTTGGTTTATGGGCTTTATTACTTCTTCATTTTTCTTTCCCTCTCTGATTGATCGGTTGGACAGAAATATTTTAGTGTCAGTCAAATTATTTGAATTGGATTGCAGGAAAAGAAGGTCAAATTGGGTATAGTATGTGAAAATTTCGTTGGAAATACAAGTAATTAGATGCCCTACTTGAGGTCAAGGGAATTCATACTTAATGTATGTTTACAAATTTAGGGCGACGTAAAATAATTATATCGATAGGTACGATTTGTGTCTTGCACTAACATCAACTCAAACTAGTAGTCTCTCTCTCTCTCTCACACACACACACACACAAACACTTGTATCGAGCTAAGAACTCTTTCTAGAGTGGAGATAGTTTCAGAGAGATGCTGATGTCTGTATTCTGTCATAGAGTTGACTTTTACTGACGACGTGGGAAATGATTACTTAATGCAAATAATTTCCTCAACTAATAATTGAATTAACCGTGAAATGCTTAAGTAGATCATGTCACACAGATTCAACGTACATTTGCAATGGAACTGTGGCCGTGTCAGTACATAGATCACACTGGGGTTCTTTGTAGTAACTTCTTTCCACCCAATTCCTCGTCAAATTTGCTATTGGACAGAAGACTTGGACATCGACTTGCTTTAGTTGTGAAGCAAACAAAGTCATTTAATTTTCTTCACTTAAGTCTAGTCTCAGACTTGCACTGTCATTGGTGACAGGCTCAACTTCTACCTTTTGGTTTGTATCGTCCCAAATTTGTCTGGTTTTTCTTTGAGAGACATTCAAGGGGGATTCCAAAGTGGTGAATCGGGTGCCTGTTATTGATTATCTCATTTCTCTGTTGTAATGGCTACCTAAACTTTGATTGTAGTCTTTTCATTTTTTGGACCCTCTACTTCTATCCATTCTTTGTTGCTCTTCTTGCCTATCTTTTTCCCTTATGCAGTTTTTCTTACAAGTTAGATTGCTATTCTTCCAAAGCATGGATGTTACTTGGTCAGTGAAGGTAGATTAAGTCAGAGAATGATCATGCTCATTGAGAACTCTGAATTCTTACAGTCATGCTTTCATGATACTGTCCTCTTTGTTCTGCAATTAGCTGTAAATGGGCTTGTGGTGTAAAAGCTAGTAAAATGGTTCTCCCAATCATTATGAAGATTCACTTATGGTAAAATCTTTAGTTGTGAAGCCATTGTGCTGACATCTTGGTGGGAGCCCCATGCACTGGGTTGCCCTTTTTATATTTATTTATTTTGCATCGGTTACTTTTTACTACAGAGATAAGTTGCGTCTGTGGGATACTTGGAGATCATGCTACAAATTTGTGATTTGTTATCCTCTGTCTTTTACAACAAAAACTTGGACAAGATTGCTGTGAACATTATATCATAAAATATTTTCATTACCTTCTTATCAAGATATTATTTTTGCTCAGTGACTGAAGTCCTAGTTGGATTGTTGCAAAGAAAAAGAAAATTGTAGTTGATCCTTTTATTATGCATCTGCTATATCTCATTCTTCAGAGTCCAAAGTCCGAACTTTAAATCCTTCCCAGCAATCCCGTGTGTATCCATAAAACTGTTTAGATACATCCATATATACATACATTGATTGCTGTGGCTGTTTTGAGGTATACATTTCTGGAAACTTTGATGATCAAAACAAAGATGGGTACTTCTTGTAATTTAAATAGTAATATTTTTAATGACCAAAATACTCTTTGAAAAGCAAATAATTCCTTTGTTTGTTGGTTCTTGTGCAAAACTCTAAGCAAGGTTGCAACACTAAGAGTCTCACTTCTCAGCCTTCAACCAAGTTACAGAGACAAATCTCAAAAGATTCGTTTACTCTCTAAAAATGGAAAAATGAGGTAAAATGCCTTTTATAGAAGAAAGATAGATTGTCTTGCAAAGCAAGAGAATTAAATTACAGACATAGGCAAGGTGCCAACTGGCTGGTTGGTAAGGTCTCCTGCTGGTTGTAGTGGAGATTTGGGATTGAATCCTTCCTGCACCTGGGTTGGGGTGGTTTATGGGTTTGGGGGATGGGCTACCCCCCGCTGTGTGGCCCCTTGGGGAAAATAGAAAAAAAAAGAAAAAAAAAGAAAAAAATTGCATACATACCAAAAGCATTACTGCTTTTATTTCTTTGGAATCCACCTTGGAATATTCATTGTCTTCTGCATTAGGCTTGTTGGAGTGGGCTTGCATATAGGCCGAGGGTAAATAGGCTTCCATTGAAGGGGCCACTATGGATGAAGAGTATTTAGGAATTATGAGTAGCCCAATAGCTATGGTCCTAAGGCTCATTTTCCCCATTTTATGTAAATCTTCCTTTCTGCAATTTCTGTTTCCTATAATTGTCGTTCTAACCACTTTATACAGACAGGGTAAGGGTGTCAATGGACCGGTTTTGGATTGGATCCCATCCAGTCCAAAATCAATTTGGACGGACCAACAAGACATATTGGATTGGACCAATCCAGTCCAAAATATTTATTAGATTCAATTGGACCTGGTCCGTTCATAACAAATTTATATTGGATTGGGTTGGATTAAGCCAATATCTGGTCCATTGATATAAGATAAGAATATATGTGTCAATGGACCAGGTTTGGGTTGAAACCAAGGTAAATCAAAATGAATTTGAACAGATTGGATGGTCCAGATATTGAATTGGACCGGTCCAAATTGATCCAAAACATTTGTTAAAAGACTGTTATTTATCTAAGTATAGTACTGCAGGGGTACTCTTGTACTTTCCTCCTTTTATTTTTTATGTTCTGTCGCCCTAGTATATATACCAAAAGCTGGCGCTGCTAGCAGTACTTTTACTCTCAGTTCTCTCTTCTCTCTTCTTCTCTCTCACTCTTCTCTCTTCCTCCATTCTTCTCTCTTGCATAACATGGTATCATAGCGGGACTATCAGATCTGAAAGGAGAAGTCGAGTGAACAGTTTTCTTCGCACCAGATTTCCAGATCTTCTGCCCTCATCTACTGTTTGGCTGATTGAAGATCTCATGCACTGAAGTAACTTTTCTCCTTCTCCTCCTTTTTTTCTGGTCATGTGCCAGGGCAGAACCTATACTAGGTCTGCTGGTTGGATGTGAGGTGATCAACACCTCTTTCTTTCCTTTTTTGTGGGGTCGACTGATCCCTATAAAAACTATAGGTCGTGAAGACCTTTTGTGTGCTGCAATAGCAGCTCTTATGGTGAACTAAAGGCTAGAAAGTGACTTGTACTTGCTGTAACAGCTTTCTTGTTGATGCGTAGGTCAAGAGATGACTTGTATGCACTGTGGCAACACCTGTGTTGATTCTGTAGGTCAAGGGGTGACCTGTTAGTATTGTAACAACACCTGTGTTTTATAGAAAAGAGTTGTGTTTCCGAAGAAAAAAAGGGATTTCCTTTCTCCCTCAGTGTTGGAACTTTTTTTAAGGTTTTGTGCCCACTTTAAGAGTGTTTTTGAATCTGTAATCATGAGTGGTGAAGATTCTACTACATCCAGTGTTTCCTCAATGTCGAATGGAATGAGTGGGGGTGTGGACCTATCCTTTCCCATTGGCTGTTATTCCTCTCGATGGATTAAATTATTTAGAGTGGTCAAGAGGGATCAAGCTATACATCACTACAAGGGGAAAGGTAGGTTATATAAATGGGAGAATCAAAGAACCCAATTCTAGGTGTGCTGAATATGACAGATGGAACTAGGAAAACAGCATGGTCATGTCCTGGCTTTTAGTGTCTATGCAACCTCAAATAAGAAGGAATTTTATGTGGGCTGAAATGGCAAATGAGATATGGGAACAAGCAAAATCAATCTATTCTGAATTGCGTCACTATGCAAAAATCTACCAGTTATAGGTAGAATCATCCACTTGTAAACAGGGGGAGAGATGTCTATCTGTGTACTACTCAGACTTGACCTCTGTCTGGAAGGAGTTAGAACATTACCAGAGTGTGGACTGGAAGTGTGATGAAGATGCAAAATTGTACAAAAAACTTGTTTCACAACAGAGAGTGTTTGCTTTCCTACATGGTTTGAACCCTACATATGAATCTATCCGAGTCTAGATCTTAGGTAGCAAGGATCTTCCATCTGTCCGGGAAGTTTATGCTCTTGTACAATCAGAAGAAAGTAGAAGAAATTTGATGAACAATTCTGGAGGGGATGCAGTTCTGTTGGCAGTGAAAGGGAGTGTTACTACTGATGGGGGAAATACCTTTAAGAAGGGGGATTTTCAGAAAAATGTGGATGACAAGGACAAACTGTGGTGTACTCATTCTTAGAAACTCAGACACACCTGAGACACATGCTGGGATCTTCATGGGAAGCCGAAATGGGCTCAATATTTGAATAAGAAGCAATGTTCAAATATGAATAAAAAGCTAGGACAACAAGGTACAAGAAAACACACTATGGAAAATATGGCTACTCAGGAGAATCAGCCCCCCATTACTACTGTGACTCAGATACATGCCTCTGGGTCTGACCCAAGGGAGGATATTATGAATTCCTTCCGTGACCAATTAGAGCTTTATGGTAGAGCAATTTGTCAGATGGATTCTCCTCCCTCAACTTCATTTGTGTCTACATCAAGTAACTCTACCATAGCTTTCCATGTAGCATCTCATACCCCTAATACTCCTTGGATCATTGATTATGGAGCGTCTAAACACATGACTGGTAAGTCCTCTTACTTTCAAACCTATCACCTCCTTTTTGGAAGAGACAAGGTGAGACTAGCTGATGGATCATACTCTACCATAGCTGGTCAAGGAACCATTTCTCTTCCCTTTTGCCTTACCCTGTCTAATGTTTTACACGTCCTAAAATTTCCCATTAATTTGTTCTCTGTTAGTAGTATTAGTAATTCCTTAAACTACTCAGTGACCTTTTTCCCTTCTCATTGTGTGATCCAGGATCTGGCATCGGGGAAGATGATTGGTATAGGATGTATGGTGGATGGGCTTTACATGTTGGAGAATAAGGCTGGTCTTCAAGTCATAGAGTCTAAGAGTCAGTCTTGTAAGAGTCGGGTCTATTTTTAATACAGTCGTCTTGGTCATTTATCTTTTGAGTCTTTAAAAATTGTGTTTCCAGAGTTGTTTAAGTCAGTATCAGTGTCCGAATTTACTTGTCAATTGAGTAAGCAGTGTAGAACTCATTTCTCTTCAAAGAATAATAAATCTACATTTCTTTTCCACATTATTCATTCTGATGTTTGGGGTCCTGTTACTTTACCATCTGAGAGTGGCTGCAAGTATTTTCTTACCCTTATTGATAATTACTCCAGATATACATGGGTATATCCCATGCGAACTAGGGATGAAGTACCTAAAATTATCCAAGATTTTCAGCGGATGATCTTCACCCAATTTCAAACTGAAATCCAAAATTTTCAATCGGACAATGCCAAAGAATATTTCCATATATTTTTGCATGGCTCACTTCACCGTAGCTCTTGTTCCCGAACACCACAATAAAATGGTGTTGCTGAAAGAAAGAACTGACACATTCTTGAAGTGGCTTGGAGATTACTATTTCATTTGAATGTCCTGAAATGTTTTTGGCTTTGAGGCTGTCCTTTGTGCTACCTATCTCATCAACCACATGCCTTCTCGTTGGTTAGAGTGCAAAGCCCCACATCAGTTTCTTTTCCAGAAATCTGTCACCTACTCACGGAAAATTAGATCCTCCTTGTGTGTTTGGGTGTCGTTTTGTTCAAAATCTATCACCCACTCATTTTTAATTAGATCCTCGTGCCATTCCTTGCATTTTCTTGGGGTACTCCTTCACTCAGAAGGGATATCGATGCTTTGATCCAGTTTCTTGGAAATTTTATGTCTTTATGGATGTCTCCTTTTTTGAGTGAGTCTTTCTTCCCTGTTTCTCCTTAGGGGGAGTGTAGGAATGAGGGGAAACTAGTTCAACTCCCTCCTCTTCTTGATCCTCCTTCCTTTCATGTCTTCTTTCATCGTCACAAAGGCCAACCGTGTTCAAGAGCTGTGGGGAACCTAGAAGCTATACCACCAATGCCATCAGACTCTCCGGGGGCGGATCATACCCATTCAAGTACATTGGTTCCTGTTGATGTTTCTGACCCTATTGCCAATTACACTTTTGTTGCTAATGACCTTGACCTTCCTATTGCTCACCGGAAAGGTGTTAGATCTTGCACCACTAAACACCCAATTTCCCACTTTGTTTCCTATGAAAACATTTCACCCTCCTTTCGAGATTTTCTCTCTTACAGTGACAGTGTCCCTATCCCTAAGAATGTGGCAAAAGCTCTTTCGATACCTGAATGGACAGATGCTATAATGGAAGAAATTAATGCGTTACATAAAAATGGCACATGGGAACTAGTAGATCTTTCTGAGGGGAAGGATCTAGTTGGATGTAAATGGGTTTTCATGGTTAAACATAGGGCTGATGGCACCGTGGAACGGTATAAAGCTCGTTTAGTGGCAAAGGGGTTTACACAAGTGTATGAAGTAGATTATGTAGAAACTTTTGCTCCTGTTACTAAGATGAACTCCATTAGAGTCCTTTTCTCCCTATCTGCTAATTTTGAGTAGGACCTACATCAACTTGACATCAAGAATGCTTTCCTGAATGGTGACCTTGAAGAGGAAGTATACATGGTACAATCCTCTGGTTTTCGGGCTCAAGGTAATGAACATAAAGTGTGCAGGCTAAAGAAATCATTATATGGGTTGAAACAATCACCAAGAGCCTGGTTCAGCAAGTTCCATGTAGCAGTACAACAAAAAGGATACAAGCAGTGTCAGCTTGATCACACATTGTTTGTGAAGAAAGGGGAAAGGAAAATTGCAGCACTGATGGTATATGTTGATGATATAGTTATCATTGGCGATTGGAAGGATGAAATTCAGAAGTTGAAGAATTTTCTTGCTACCCAGTTTGAAGTGAAAGATCTAGGTCCTCTAAGGTATTTCCTTGGGATTGAAGTGGCCCGCTCAAAAAGGGGGATCTTCATTTCCTAAAGAAAGTATGTCCTAGATCTACTCCAGGATATAGGAAAACTGGGAGTGAAGCCAGTTGATTCTCCTATTGATCCTAACCACAAGCTAGGTGACTGTCAAGGTGAACCCATCAAGGATGTAAAATTGTTCCAGAGACTTGTAGGAAGACTGTTATATCTTCCTATGACTCGACCAGACATAGCTTATGCAGTGGGTGTTCTTAGCTAGTTCATGCATACCCCTAAGACTACCCATCTTGAAGCAACAAAAAGAGTTCTTAGATATCTTAAGAAGTTCCTAGGTGCAGGCTTGTTCTTAGATCTAGTGTTGAAGCTGAATACCGGGCAATGTCTCATGGAGTGGTTGAAATTATGTGGCTAAAAAATTTGTTGAGTGAGTTGGGTTTTCCGGTTGACGGACCTATGACACTATTCTATGATAACAAAGCGGCCATAAACATTGCTGCTAATCTAGTGTTGCATGATAGAACTAAACACATCGAAGTCGACAAACACTTTATTAGAGAAAAGGTCGTCACAGGGTAACTGTGTACTCCTTATGTTAGCTCTGAAGATCAACTTGAAGACATCTTTACAAAAGGGTTACACCACTCACGGCATCATGATTTATGTGACAAGTTGGGCATGATTGACATCTATGTCCCAACTTGAGTGGGAGTGTTAAAAGACTGTTATTTATCTAAGTATAGTACTGCAGGGGTACTCTTGTACTTTCCTCCTTTTATTTTTTATGTTTTGTTGCCCTAGTATATATACCAAAAGCTGGCGCCGCCAACAATACTTTTGCTCTCAGTTCTCTCTTCTCTCTTCTTTTCTTTCACTCTTCTCTCTTCCTCTATTCTTCTCTCCTACATAACAACATTCATTGGATTGGATTGGACTTGGTCCATTTATAATGAACTCACATCGGATTGAGTCAGATTGGACCAAATCCAGTCCAATTGACGCCCCTAGCCAGGGACAATCATGTTGATGGTGAAAACTCCTTAACAATACTCACATGTCAAGTCTTAGTCAAGTCATGTTTTTCTACCAAGAGTAGTTGTCTATGTCGACTTTTAAGGCAATTTTAAAAAGTTAATAATTTCTCATTTTCTCTTCTTGATTTATAAGTTGATAACCTTTTGTCTATTCTATATAATTTTATTTTCTTTTCTCCAGTGCTGCAGTGAATTCAGAGACCCGTGAGGAGGTTGCCATTAAGAAGATTGGTAATGCGTTTGACAACAGAATTGATGCTAAAAGAACATTGAGGGAAATTAAGCTTCTGCGTCACATGGATCATGAAAATGTAAGTATTTTGATGGGTAGATTGTGAAATGTAAGTTTACTTACCATTTGATTGTCTTTATCCCCCCCTCAGAAAAGAAATAAGAAAAACTGATAAAGTGGATGATTATTATGTTATAGAGATTGATCAAACAATTGCAATGTTCTAAAAGATAATTTTTTCGCTATCCCATCCTTTACATCCTTTTGTTAGTTTTGGTGTAGCTTGTAACTAAGCTGTCCTAAGTTTCCTTATATGGTAAGAAAGGGCATGATTAAGATTGATGAACTGGAGATATCCTCAACTGATTACTTCTGTTACCTAGGATTATTCATCCATAATGAGAGAAATTGAAGAGGGTATTTCCTACAGAATTAGATCTGGGTGGATGAAGCAGAGGAGTGTATCCAGTGTACTGTGTGACCAATATGTACCAATGATGCTAAAAGAAGGTAAGATGGCTATAAGACCAACAAGTGTTATGTGGAACAAGTAATAAACAATCAAGAAGCATGCACAAAAAATGAGTGAAACTGAGATGAGGATGCTCAGGTGGATAAATGTTGACTAGAAAGGTTAGGATCAGAAATGGGTGCATATAGTTGATAGGATGAGAAGTCGACTGAGGTGGTTGGTCATGTGCACAGGTAACCAATGACTTGTTGGGAGTAGAGGAATCTAAAAGAGCAAGGGCAAGAGCAAAGAAAACGTTGCTTGAAGTGGTAAGAAATGATTTAAGGACTTAAACCTCAACAGTAAACATATAGCCAGTCCCAAATAGTTGGGATTTAGGCTGAGTTGAGTTGAGAATGTGTGTATGTGCACATATGTGCGGCCGTGCGTGTGTCTGGTTGGTGTGAACATCAAATTGTTTGGAAAAATATATATTCCACTAGATTTATCCAAATTATTAATAGGGAAAATTCCCGATCAGTACCCTGTACTTTGGCTCGAGTGACAATTTGGTCCCCAAACTTTAAAATGCAACAATCCAGTACCTGAATTTTCAAAATGTGACAATCTAGTACCTGCCGTTAACCAGTCTATAAGCCGTTAAGTGACATTTGAAAAGTCAAAAATGCCCTTCAAATGCCATCTAATTCTCTTTATCAACCACCCAAACGTTGCCAAAAAACTGAACAGTCCCAAATCCTAGCCTCTTCTATTCAAAAAAGTTGGTGACTGTTTAGAAGAATCTAAAATTTGGGACTGTTCATTTTGTTGTCAATGTTTGGATGGTTGATAAAGAGAATTAGATGGAATTCTTAGGGAATTTTTGACTTTTCAAATATCACTTAACGGCTGATTAATGGACTGATTAACGACAAGTACTGGATTGTCACATTTTGAAAGTTCAGGTACTGGATTGTCACATTTTGAAAGTTCGGGTACTGAATTGTCGCATTTTAAAGTTCGGGGACCAAATTGCCACTCGAGCCAAAGTACAGGGTACTGATCAGGAATTTTCCCTTATTAATAAGGCATACCAAATAACAGAAAATTACTGAATAACAGATCTGGCTTCCAATTGACAATGCTTGATGTATCTCTTATTGTTTGATTCAGCTTGGTACTAGAGTTGTTGTGGTTCATTTTGAGCAATTTGACAACTAATCTTCTTCAAAAGACAATGGAGGTAACTGCTTTTGCAGTCTTTTTTGTGTTTGCAATAATGTGATCTGGTCCTCACAACTTATGATAATTTTAATTTTTAAGTCTACATGAAATGTTTTTGCCAGTTCTAGTCAAAGAAGAGAAGAAACAAGAGAGAAATACAAGTTGGTGGGGTGTGTTCTATGTCTGGCATGCCCAGAAATATATATATATATATATATATATATATATATATATATATCCTTACAAGAATGATAAGGTACAACAGTGTACAGAGGTAATGTACAAGAAGAAATAAAAGAATGGTAAAATGATTATTAACTTCCATCTTCTCTATACTCCTCAATTTGATGCCTAGACAAGAGCATCAATTTGTTCATAACAAAATTGTGTCTAGTGCGAGTCATAGTCCTGGTGAAAAGATCAACCAATTGAAGACTGGAGGACACATAAGGAAGAGTGATGTGACCTACAGTGAGAAGATCTCTAATGAAGTGGCAATCCACCTCTATGTGTTTTGTCCATTCATGAAAGATTGGATTTGAGGCAATCTTGATTGCATTCATGTTGTTAGCAAATAAAGGAATAGGGGCTAGATGATTAATGGCTAGATCATGAAGAAGGGCTTGAAGCTAGACAAGCTTATTGCAAACAAATGATGGCACGATATTCAACTTCCGTAGATGTATTGGAGATTGTCTATTGCTTCTTGCACTTCCAAGAGATGAGAGAATCATCTAAGAAAACACACCATCTAGTGGTGGACCGTTTGGTGTCAGGGCAACCAGCCTAGTCAGCATCAACATTAGCAATCAACTGAGAAGATGAGGAAGACGAGAAGAAGAGTCCATGAGACAACGAGGTTCCTCTCACATATATGATAATCCAAAGGATTGTGGAGAAATGAGGTTGTCGAAGAGTAGACACAAACTGGCTAACTATTTGTATGATATGGGATATATCTGACCGAGTCAGAATGAGGTAAATAAGGTTGCCAACAAGCTGACATTATAAGGTGGCATCAGGAAGAAGTTGTCCATCATCCTTACTAAGCTTTAGGTTGATTTCCAGTGGAGTATCAACCTACTTTAGATCAGAGAGGTTGGTCATCTTGATCAAATCACTAGCATATTTCTGTTGATTAACAAGGTATCCCTAAGCACTTTGAGCGACTTTAAGACCAAGAAAGTAGGTCACTAGACCAAAGCCCTTCCAAGTCATCACCAATAATAAGTATGTAATCAACGTACACCAATAGAAGAGTCAAGCCCTGAGGATGCTTGAGAATAAAGAGGGAGTAATTTGAGGAACTCTGTTAAAATCTTACTTCAATGACAACCCCATAGAATCTCTCAAACCAAGCTCATGGAGTTTGTTTGAGGCCATATAATGATTTCTTAAGTCCGCAAGCTAACTTAAGATCATCATAGTAGCTTGGAGGAGGCTTCATGCACATTGTCTCATGGAGATGCCCATGAAGAAAGGCATTCTTCACATCCATTTGGTGAAAAGTACATTGCTTAATAGTAGTGATGGCAAGGATAAGTCAAATAATAGTCCTCTTGGCAACTAGTGCAAACATTTCCTCATGGTCAATATCATGTGCCTGTTTGCACCCTTGAGCAACAAGGCAGGATTTATATCTATCCGGATTGCTATTTGAATTCAGCTTAACAGAGTACACCGAACGACTACCAATAATGGAAGCATTTGGTGGAGGAGGAACAAGTTTCCGAGTATTATTTTCCAGTAGACCTTGAATTTCAGAGTCCATAGCATCTTTCCTATACTCAATTGCTATAGCTTGTTGGTAAGATTTTGGGATATTTGTGGAAGACAAAATAACAAAAAGGGAGCTATGGGTTGTAAGAAATCCATAGCGATTAAGAAGATGAGAAGGCGGAGGTGGGCGGAGGTGGCGGCAGCGGCGGGCAGAGGAATGACCACCAGCACTGCTGCCGCCACCTCTGCCTCCGGCCACCTCCGGCAACGTTGCCGAAGGCAGAGGTGGGCGGAGGTGGCGGCGAACGGTGGCTCTGGTGAACAAATAGCAAGAAGAAGAAGATGAACAGTGTTTTTGCCCTTTATTGATATTATTTTTAAAAAATTAACCTATTTTTGAAACTTTTTTAAATATATTACTTTTATTGATATTAAACCCCAAAAGTTTCCCTTCTATGCTAGAAACCCTTTTCCCTTAGTGGTTTTCAGACCCCTCATAGGAATAGCTACATCAACAATAACTGAACTTAATATCCAAGAAACTATCTGGGTATTATTGATTATCCACTGTTTCAGCCCTTTAGCATCTGCAACATCAAGGATGGTTGTGGTTCCATCCAAATAACCCCACATACCCTTTCTTTCAACAAAAAATTGGAAATGGAATTTCAAGAGAGCATAGTTTGATTTGTGGAACTTCACGGAGATGAAGTCACTCCTTTTGGATCCCATATTCAGCCAAGAAACCTTAAAGAGAAGTTAGATAATCACTAGGAACCACTGAAGATCTTAGAATCAACAGGCAAGCTAAGCCCAAAACTTGAGTCTAGATGAGTTAAGAAAGGAAACTGTAAGTAGCAGCTGCCCAAGGAAGAAGATCAAAACTCCTTCAAATGTTCACCAGAGCAAGAGCTGTTTAAATGCTAGAGAGATCAGGTCTAGGCATCAGTGCATCACCAGATCTGAAATCTCTCTTGCTGGTTGATCAAATCAGCCCTATACTCTTCCACCGATTGAAGGATCCACTGATTGGGTTCGGTGATAGATGGTACAGATGGTGTTGGGGTGTATTAGGTCTTGCCACTACTCTATTTGGTGAACGGAACGGTGGTAGACTTCTTCCCAGCATTGAGGGGAATAAGACAAGGAGACCCCCTTCTCCTTTCTTGTTTACTTTTATTGCGGAAGTACTAGGGAGTCTAATCTCTAAGGCAGGTTCTAGAGGGCTAATTAAGGGTTGGAGAGTTGGCAGGGAGAGTATACCACTAACACACTTGCAGTTTGCAATGATACGATTTTGTTTTGTGGGGGGGGGGGACATGAATTGGATTAGAAATGTGAAATTTACAGTACAACTATTTGAGCAAATGTCCAATCTGAAAGTTAATTTTGATAAAAGTTGTGTTGTAGGTGTGAATATGGGGGAAAGTAAGATCCTTGAGCGTGCAAATATTTTGGGTTGTGGAGTATCAAATTGGCCTTTGATTTACCTCGGTCTTCCTCTAGGAGATAATCCTCAAAAAGGAAGTTTTTGGACTCATGTAGTGGAGAGGTTCGAAAAGAGACTTGCTTCTTGGAAGAAAAACTACCTATCTCTTGGGGGAATAATTACCTTAATTAGGTCTACCCTAGCTAATCTGCCCATCTATTATCTCTTAGTCTTTAAGGTACCTGCAGGGGTTGCTAGTAAGTTGGAAAGATTAATGAGGGACTTCTTGTGGGAACCGGGGGAGGAAAAAAAGGATCATAGGGTTAGATGGGAGATGTTGTGTAGGAATAAATAGGATGGAGGGCTAGGCATTGGGAATATTAGGAAGAGGAATTTGGCTTTGTTAGGGAAATGGCTGTGGAGGTTTTCTATGGAGAGGGAGAAACTGTGGACGAAGATAATTTGTAGTATTCAAGGGCTTGCAGAGAATGGTTGGGACTCTGGGATTCTGGCTATTAGCTACAAGAGCATCACCTTGGAAATCCATCCAAGATGTTTTGCCTCTCTTCTCTCCTTGGATCAGGTATGATTTACACTTGGGTAATCTCATAAAGTTCTAGGAACATGTTTGGTTGGGGAGACCCCTTTGAAAGAACAATTTCCGGCTCTATTTGCAATCTCCACCCTAAAAAATGAACAAATTTCCAGTTTCCTCGTTTCCTCAAACTCAAATTCCGGTTTGCTTGGAACTTGGGTTTGAGAAGAGCACTCAGGGACACAAAACTGGTTAATGTTTCATCTCTTTTGTTCATTCTTGAGGGGATCTTCTTGGAACCCACAAAGACAAATAGTAGGATTTGGTCTTTTTCTTCCTCTGGATCCTTCACTTGTGCGTCCTTCTTTAAAGTCTTGATACAACCAGAAATTTCTTTTGGTCTGTCATTCCCTGTCAAGGAAGTGTGGTGTAAACCTATACCTCCAAGGGTTGGGAGCTTTTGTTGGGAAGTTTTCCTTGAAAGAATCAACACAGGTGACCTACTTCAAAGAAAAAGACCCAATAGCTGTTTATCTCCACACTGGTGTGTTTTATGCAAAGCTGCTGGTGAGTCTGGGTACCACTTACTAATATCTTGTGTTTTGGCAAAAAATATTTGGGATTGTTTTGCTTCTTTATTTGGGTGCAGGTGGACACCTCCAAATAGTCTACAAAGTTTGTTTTCCTCTTCACCTATTGAATGCTCAACAAAAACATCAAGAATTATGTGGAGATGCATGAGAGCTGCTGTTTGTTGGGCACTATGGGAGGAAAGAAATGGAAGAATCTTCTTGGAAAAGGAGAGAGGCTTTGAAACTTTGGTAGAGTTGACTCACATAAGAGTAATACACTGGCTGAAGACAATGAAGGAGTTTACAGATTTTTCAACAAATGATATGCTAAGAAAGTGGAAAGAAGTTGCTAGCTCAATTACAAGGAAGAAGACTTTAAATCTCATGTGGAACCCTCCACCTCATGGTTTTATCAAACTAAAATTTGATGGCAGTAGCATGGGGAATCCAGGGCCTTCGGATATTGGGGGGGTCCTAAGGGATGAGAGAGGTAATGTAATAGCTATGTTCTCATGTCCAATTGGAGTGGGAGACTCCTTGAGGGCTGAGGTGTTAGTAGTGTTGAAAGGGGTACAAAGGGCCAAAGAAATTCAAGTCAAGAAACTGCTTATAGAAGGAGATTATGCGATTATTGTGGATTGGCTGAAAGAAGACACTCCCAAGATGTGGAGCTACAGCAATGAGAAAAGAAAATTCAAGTGGCTGATTAAGGATATGGAAGTCCTATGTACTTGGGTTAGAAGAAATGCTAACTCCTTTGCTGATGGATTGGCTAGGCAAGGAGTTATTAGAAATTCTGGGTTTTGGGCTCAATTGTGAGGGTCTGAGTGTTTAAATCAGTTGTACTTCTTTTCTGGGGAGTTAAGTATCTTTAGCTCCCCTTCCCTGTAACTTTTTTTCCTATTTTAATGAATTATGTGGTTATTGATCAAAAAAAAAAAAGAGTATTAAGCAAGAAAGAAGCTGATCAAAGAGCAACCTTCTCTGATACCATGCCAGTTCCAGTTGAACAAGAGAAGAAACAAGAGAGAAACACAAATTGGTGATTTGTGTTCTCTCTCTTATATTCATGGTTTCTATTTACACCCAGGAGCTCATGGTGAAGGCATTTAATTGTTTGTCCTTGATGATTGGAGTCTCATACTTGTTCCTAGGAGAAGTTCTCTTGATTTTGCAATCAACAAAATGCTGATGCAATGTGGAATGAGATTCCTGATAAGTCTTAACCAATTGTTCAGATTGTCTAGAGTTTTTTCTAGTTTTACTTTAAAACTAAGTTGAATTCTAATTGATGTTTTATTTTTCATCTTTCTAACATCAGGTCAATGAAATACAAAGTAGAACCTCAGAATCAATTTGTTTTTTCTATTTTTTTCTCTTTTGGTTGGCCAGATGTTATCCGTATAATTAAATTTCGGGTCTAGAAATAGGAAACTGCTTTGCTAGTTAGGTTGTTTTGTGAGCTTCCTTAGGTGACCCAAGAATCTTCCATGTGGAAAATTAGTTTGGAGCCAAAAAGGGCTGCTCCCTATGTTCCTCTTGCCTCATATTTGTTAAACAAATTTCAGCCTAAAAAGACCTTGCCATGTTTTCAAACTAAGATCTTTTTTATGGGCAAGTTTTATATCAATAAAAAGCAAAAAATATGAATGGCTTCTACTAGTTGGAAAAAATTTTCAAATACAAAGTAGCATATAGTTTAACATGGACTGGAAGATTTAAACATGTGGCAAATCCTGAGGTTTTCCTACTTGGTGAATGGTTTGGATTAGCTGCCTCATCAGTCAATGTGGCAGATTAGGGTAGGTCATGTAGAAACCTCCCTACTTGATCCATTAGGGAAACTTTTCCCAATAAAAGTTTTCTGCAGTTGTCCAACATTGTTACAGAAGTGAAATGGAAAGTTTTACATGCTATACTGCAACATACTTGTTTATTTCTTATACTATCAATAATGTAATTATCAGTGAGTGATAAAAGAATTATGTACATGAATCCCCTTAATGGATATTGATGTCTAATGTTGAATACTCGGTTCCTTGACGTCTTTAGCAGAAAATGTTATAGACCAGTATGTTTTAACAAATCATACCATAAAAAATCTGTGTATATTTCAGTTATCTATAAAAGAAAAGTCTTTATATGTTAGAAGATTAATGAAATTTGGCAATATATAAATTTTATGAAATGGCACTTTCAAATACTAGATATGAAAGTATGATATAAGCATATTAAATGGGACGCTTGGACCCTTATTTTATCTTATTCTGTTTCCCATATCTTGTCCACTATGTGTATCTGGGCATAATATAGTGGTCCCAATCTATGACAATAAATGGAAAGGATTTTTAGATAGTTGGGAGAAATTCTAAGATATTTCTTGCTTGCTATTATAGTATGACAAGGGCTTCGGCATCTGACTGCTCTGTTCTTTATTGGCCACAGATTATTGCCCTCAAAGACATTATACGACCTCCGCAGAAGGAGAGCTTCAATGATGTCTACATTGTTTATGAATTAATGGACACTGATCTTCATCAGATAATCCGCTCTAACCAACCATTAACAGATGACCATTGTCAGGTTTTGCACTTATCTTTTTTTCTTGGGATGTTCATAGTTTCAACTTTTCCATATCAAGATTGTCATTTATTATTGCAGCCAAAACAAAGAAGTTTGTCATTTAGTACTTGCAACCCCCAAAGCTTGTGCACACTACTTCCCTAACTTTGTTGGGAAACTTGGAGTTTGAGAAACTTGAATGTTTCAACTCGTTAACCATCTATACACTCATTCTACTGCTATTGGTATTCCCCCATTGGTGGCTTTTATCAAGGCCTAATACTATCCATCTAATTCTTATTCAAGAAAGCTTTTAGTTTGGTCTGTGATGGAGTTACATTCATGAAGTTGAGGATTGTTCTTCAATGAAGTTGATGCTTGATATCTTTAATTAGTTAAACAACCAACTTTTGGATGCTTAGTTTGAGCTAGGTCAACACATAAGCTACTATTTCTGTTTAGATCAGCAGCACACAAATGATTTCATTAATAAAAAGAAAGCATGGATACAACAAGAGGTTGTGAAAAAAAAAAAGAAAGAATACAACTGTAGAAAAGCTGTCCCAACCCAAGCTGTTGGTAGTTCTCCTCACCCATTTAATTCGGATTGCCATGTCCTTTGATAGCCATTTAAATCGCCTGAATTCATTCCTCAAATGCCATGTCACCCCCTCCCCCTTCAGCCATTTCAGAACAGTTATTGAGTCACCCTCAATAATCAGTCTATCAATACCCAACTCTTTGGCCTCAACCCCATATACTGCTGCCAATAGTTTTGATCTTGCCACATCACCTTGTTCAGCAGGTCCCAAGTATAGGGCTGTGATGCTACCTGTGAAGAAACTCACTGATGTACCGTATTACCATAGTTCCTATTGTATTGTATCTACCTGATGTATATTTTATTATTTTCTCTTCAGCCCTACAAGGGCTTTTCTGTAATTATATTCTGTTGCCCTACAAGAGCCTCTCTGTAAATACTCTAATTTCATCATCTATATAAAAGCCCCTTGGGGTAGGGTCTAAGCATCCATTCTTCACGCACAGAATTCTGTATTCTGCTTTGGGTTTGTTGACATGGTATCAGCGCAGGTTGCTTGATAATTTCTGCTCTTTCCTTGCTCATTTGTTGGGCATATTAGGGGTTTTGTTCTCTGGGGGTTTTGACTGGTGTTAGGGCTGTGCTCTTCAACCCTAACCATAGTTCTTCTCGGAGGCTTCTGTCTGGAAGGATTTCTGACTGGTTGTGTCGCCCAGATCTKTTYTTTTTTTTTTTTTTTTTTTTTTTTTTTTCTCTCTTAGAAAATCATGTGACAAGTCTTGGAGGAGTTCTGGTCTTCTCTCCTGGGCGGCAGCAGCCTTTTTCCTCCTTCTGTGTACTGATTTCTCCAGGGTGGCAGCAGCTTGGCTCCTTATGGTTCAGTTTTGAACAGCTACAGAATGAGGAATCTCAATAGTTTGGCTTCTTCCTCCCTCAGCAGCAGCAGTCTTGAACCCTTTTTTTTTTCTGGATTTTTCATGCTTCAAACTGAGGAACTTCAATAGACATAAAGTCATCTCTTCAAGCTGCTCTGGAAATCTTCACATTTCAGGTTGGTGTATCTCACTATTGTCTTAATCGACTATTATCAGTTCTTGGAACCCTAGTTTTGTGCTGCCCTAGGGTATTTTCTTTTTGATTATCAGTCCTTGGAACTCTAGTTTGCGCTGTTCTCGGTTGTTTATTGGAGGTTTCGGTGCCTCTATAGAGTGACTTATCCTTGCTAAAGTTGCTCTGGTTTGGTGTTGTTTTGGGATCAGACTTCATTGCTATTTGATATTAATATTTTTTTTTGAGAAATACAGCTAAGGTGATTCACTGCCTAGTTTATTGCTGATTTAAGTGAACATTGGTGCTGCTATCCTTTTCCTAGGTTGATTTTGCTTATTTAAGATGGCTGAAAAGATAGACATTCTCCCTGTAAAATTTGATGGAATTAACTATAGTATGTGAAAGTTCCATTTCGATTTCTTTTTCGGGGGAAAGGGACTTGAAGGTTACTTGAATGGGACTATATGTAAACTTGATGAGACTGATAGTAAAGCCTATGCACAATGGAAGTTAGACAACAGAAAATTAGTCTCCTGGATTTTGAGCTCCATTGTGCTTCACGTTGGTATTCCCATGAGAAGACTGAGGACTGTCTATGAGATGTATTCCTATTTGAAAAAGGTTTATCATCAGTCCAATATGTCACAACAATAGTAGATTGAATATGAAATCTTTGTCTGTTGCTAGGGGGACAAAAAGATACAAGAATACTATGCAAACTTTATTGATCTCTGGGTTGAATATGAATTAGTTCATACTGAACCTTTTGATCCTGTTGAGTGTGTCAAGTATTTGTAGAAGCATTTTGAAAATAGAAAGGTGAACCAATTCGTTATGAGGCTAAGACCTTAGTATGAAATAATCAGGTCAAATATTTTGAGTAGAGGAATTCTTCTAGATTTAGACTTTGTGATGGGAGAGTTATTGAGGGAAGAAACTAGACTCCTAACTGTTACAAATATAGATGGGAAACATCTTGATTCATGGACTAATACTATTTTTATTGCACTCGAGAATAATACATGTAGTGGAAAGGATCCTTCTAAAACCCAATCCTATGAATGTAACTATGTAAGGGATATGGACATATAATTTCACATTGCAAAAAGAATAATGTCTGCACCTATTGCAAACAACATGGGCATATCGTTCTAGATTGCCCTATTTGTCCACCCAAGGGTCCCATGAAGAATTAGCCACGAGCTTATCAGGTGTCTGAGGGATAAGTGTCTGATGCCTCTATTGCCAAGGGAGAATCCTTTGCTTCCATTAATAAGGAAGAGATACGACAATTGGTATCCTCTGCTATCTCATCTGCCTTTTCTGCTATCGGTCTATCAGGTGAGTTCTCCGATTACTGCTCTTCTCCTTCTCAAGTTTGAATAATTGCTTCTGGTGCTACAAATCACATAACTGGGCTTACCCTGAATCCTCTAACAAACTTTCTAAGACCAACCATAAACATATTATCATTGCTAATGGTGAGAAACTGGATATCATTGGGAGTGATGCTGTATGTATCAAACTTTTCCCCTCAAACTCCCTGTCCCTTGCCAAGAATTTCCTTGTTCCTACAATTATTGCTAACCTTATTTTAGTTGATCAATTAGTTGTTGAAGGTCACATTCTAACCTTTTCTTCTGATGGTTGTTTGATTTAGGACTGGTAGACTAGAAAGGTGAAAGGGAAGGGGTGTAGGCTGGGCTGCTTGTTTGCATTGGAGTTTGAGAAATCACAATCTGCATCATCATCTGCTTATTTGACATTTTCTACATTGGGTCTTATTTTGAGTTAGAGAGACTATGTTTGGGATTTGTGGCACAAATGTTTGGGTCACCCAGACTCTGAACAACTTAAATACTTGTTTGAGTCTAGTTTTATTAAAACTAAAATTCCATTTATGAAATCTTTTGATATGTCTTGTGTTTCTTGTTGTTTGAGTAAGAGTCGTATTTTACCATTCACTCACCAAGCTGAACATGCTACTTCTCTTTTTGAAATTATACATAGTGATGTTTGGACTTCATCTGTTGTTTCTCGAATGGGATACAAGTATTTTGTGTTGTTCATTGATGATTGTATTAGGTACATGTTAGATTTAAATAGTTTTTTCTTTATTCATGTTGTTACAATGTTGTCAACTTAGGCCCCTGTCAGCATGTTCTTTTCTTTTGTATTAGGGTGTGCCACTAGGGGCCTATTTGCAATTTCTTATATTTGATATAAGTTGTAACACATGTAAATAAAAGTGAAGTTGGGCGCCGGTAGGTCTATGACTTTCGACTCTCACATCTTTTCTTTTCTCTTCTCTTCTCCTCTCCTCTCTTCTCTCTCTTCTCTCTCTTCTCTCTTTTTCCTCTTTTCTTGTATGATTACATGGTATTGGAGCGACACTCTGAGCAATAGGAGTTGTGTTTTTTTTTTTTTTTTCCACTGAGAAGTATTCACTCAACCCAGGCGCCAATTTTCTTGGACTTTTAAGACAAAAATATTTAATCGGACTGATCAGAAATATCTCGTCACTTATTCTGGGTTCTTCCTTGGTCGTAGCACCAAGGCAACCCTAATTGGTGGAGGCCAATGCTGTAAAGCTTCCTTGGCTCCATCGACTGATGTTGTGCAGACCTAAACTTCCTTTTTTGACATTCGACTGAGGCTATGAAGGCCTGGCTCCTTCGACTGATGCTATGAAGACCTAAACTTCCTTTTTTGACCTTTGGCTGATGCTGTGAAGGCTTGGTTATGCTTTTTGCACCTTCATACAGGTGTTGTACAGGGATGTGTGATCCCCTTTGTCCAGGTATGTGTTAGAATTGGTGTGCGAAGTGTGGATTTACAACAGTATTCTTCTTCCTGGACTAGTTTTTGGACTGTTTATGTGCTACAGTAGTGTGTACATATTTTCAGAAGTAGTGTGTGGAGTTTTGTGCCTTAATTGTGACTAGTAGAAGTAGTATAGGTGTGAGGACTGGTCTTGTGCACTTGTAGTTTTTTGTTTTTGGCTTGTAGACCTTCCTTTGAAAATGGCGGATAATGATTCTGCATCATCTGGGTTACATCAACTTGTGGTACAGTAGGTATGGGGACTGAAAGCATGATGTTTCCTATGCTGATCACTCCTTTAAATGGTTTGAACTACCTGGAGTGGGCCAAAGGTGTAAAACTTTATGTAACAACAAGGGAGAAAGCTGGTTACATAAATGGAAGGGTTAAAGAACCCAAGAGTGGGACTATTGAACATGATCAGTGGGACCAAGAAAACAATATGGTGATGTCCTGGCTTCTTGCAGGCATGGAATTTGATGTGAAAAAGAATTTTATGTGGGCAGGTATTGCAAATGAGATATGGAAGCAAGCCAAAACCACCTATTATGAGTAAAGGCACTTTGCTAAGATCTACCATTTACAAGCTGAATCCTCAACTTGTAAA